ATTGTTCTGGCAAATTAAACTAAATTGTTTCTTTTTTTTTTTTTTACAGTGTGCTTTAAAGTACTGTTCAATGTTATTTCATGTTAGAAATCGCATTAACTAATGATAACATAAAAAAAGAAAAAGAAAACTTGTATAGAAAAATGCTACATTATTTTGATAATTTCTTTAAAGCTGATGATCATGTTTTCATGATTTGATAAAACTACAAAGATCATCTTGTACTTCAATGTACTCCAATTTTCGGAAAACACATAATCCTAGCCAAAATATTATTATTAGAGGTTATTATTAAATAGTGTTTGGTGCAAATAATAATAATAATAATAATAATAAACCTTGTAAAGTTCATATGTTAATTACGCCACTCAGTTAATTTTTCAAGAAAGTAATGTGTTACGTTACTTTTGCATTAGTTTTTAATGGAAGACGTTTGGGATGACCAGAACCCTTCCTAGAGCTGGCCGTCCGGCCAAACTGAGCTATCGGGGGAGAAGAGCCTTGGTGAGAGAGGTAAAGAAGAACCCAAAGATCACTGTGGCTGAGCTCCAGAGATGCAGTCGGGAGATGGGAGAAAGTTGTAGAAAGTCAACCATCACTGCAGCCCTCCACCAGTCGGGGCTTTATGGCAGAGTGGCCCGACGGAAGCCTCTCCTCAGTTCAAGACACATGAAAGCCCGCATGGAGTTTGCTAAAAAAACACCTGAAGGACTCCAAGATGGTGAGAAATAAGATTCTCTGGTCTGATGAGACCAAGATAGAACTTTTTGGCCTTAATTCTAAGCGGTATGTGTGGAGAAAACCAGGCACCTGTCCAATACAGTCCCAACAGTGAAGCATGGTGGTGGCAGCATCATGCTGTGGGGGTGTTTTTCAGCTGCAGGGACAGGACGACTGGTTGCAATCGAGGGAAAGATGAATGCGGCCAAGTACAGGGATATCCTGGGCGAAAACCTTCTCCAGAGTGCTCAGGACCTCAGACTGGAACTAAGGTTTACCTTCCAACAAGACAATGACCCTAAGCACACAGCTAAAATAACGAAGGAGTGGCTTCCCAACAACTCTGTGACTGTTCTTGAATGGCCCAGCCAGATCCCTGACTTAAACCCAATTGAGCATCTCTGGAGAGACCTAAAAATGGCTGTCCACCAACGTTTACCGTCCAACCTGACAGAACTGGAGAGGATTTGCAAGGAGGAATGGCAGAGGATCCCCAAATCCAGGTGTGAAAGACTTGTTGCATCTTTCCCAAAAAGACTCATGGCTGTATTAGATCAAATGGGTGCTTCTACTAAATACTGAGCATTTTTCAGTTTTTCTTTTTTAATAAATCTGCAAAGATGTCAACAATTCTGTTTCTTTCTGTCAATATGGGGTGCTGTGTGTACATTAATGAGGGAAAAAAATTAACTTAAATGATTTTAGCAAATGGCTGCAATATAACAAAGAGTGAAAAATTTAAGGGGGTCTGAATACTTTCCGTACCCACTGTATATATATAATATTTTTTTATTTTGCAAGCTCTATTCTAGTGTACAACAAAAGCAATGCAAAAAAGCAGAACTAGAAGCGAACACTCTTTTTGCTACAATACACAACGCCTGAGCACCTTACTCTCGTCTAGATTTCTCGATTGTGTTACTTGCTTGAAAAAGTAACTCAGATCTTTTGATGTAAATTTAAAAAGTAATGTATTTACACATTCGTTAATACATATAACAACACTTTTGAGGATGACTTCTGACCTCTCTCTCATCCTGGTGGAGCCACTGTTTGGGGTCGTCTTCTGTAGCCAGAAACGCAATGAGGTCCAGAGCTGTGAGCCGTGTCTGCCGGCGCGACGACACAAATATGAGGACCGGTTTGGCAGGAGAATGAGTGCGGATGGCTGCAGGACAGTGGAAATACAGAGTGTAATCCAAATATGAATTTAACAATCAAAATGCATGATAAAAAATAACAATACAAAAGACAAAATACAAAAGAAATAAAACTGCAAGTCGATAAAGTAGCATTTTTACTAAGAATAATTTGTAATTTGGCTGAACCTGGAGGCCATATCATGGTAACATCCCTGGGGCATCTATTACGTATGAATACAATTTCAGCTCCCATCTACTGTACTTGAATGGGAAGGACTAAAACCTCCATAACTGTTGGCCAAGAGTGTGTTCTAAATGCAAATTTCAAATCAACAATAACATTTGACAATGATGATAAATGAACAATGAACAAATCAAGAAAAAAGAAAAATGTTCATGCTGTTCCTGCTGAAGCTTATGAGCATGGATCCTTTTAACATTTCTAAGGTTTTCAGAAACAGAAATTATCATAGTTGGGTAAACTTTTATAATGGTGAACGGAAAGTCGTAAACTAGAACAAACATAATTTAGCGTTTTCATTTGATCCAACAGCAAAAAATAAAATCCATTATAGTACATCTAAGAAAGAGGAAAACAATATCAAGAGCTTGATTATAGTAGTCAGAAGAGAGATATTAAATCAATAATAAAAAAAAAAGAAACTATAAAAGACTCTTACAATGCTTTTATGCTATTTTTTGATGTTAATACTGTGGTAAAATGTGGAAATGCATCATCACAGTCTGCAAAAAGTCACTTTTCCACATTTTAACACAGTATTAACATAAAAAATTGCATAAAAATAGTGTAAGAGTCCTTTATATTTTCATTACAAAAAATACCATTTGTAAGACTAAACTTTGTGTCATGTAAAAATGGACAGGATTTGCATTTTTACATGATCATTTCCTTCAATGTGTGTGCATGTTACTGTAGTATTGTACCTTGGAAGACTGGTTTGTTCATGCTGGCCATACGAGGGCAATAATGTTGCCCCGGAAAGCCCTGGATGTGAACCTCCAGCGGCACTGGGCGAACAGAGGGCCGGAAATTAAACAGTCCCACCTGAAAGAGACACAGACAGAAATGAACAAGGATAGGGCCTCAAAACAGAGCAAGAAAAACAGGGCCAGAAAGTGAGAAGAAGCAAAGAAAGACAGTAATAAAGGCGAGAGATGGAGTGTCCAGCTGGCTGTGTGCCTGACAGAGTGGCCCATCTGGGGGTAATTACAGCCTGTCATTGTCCCCTGTCCCACAACTGCGCTCTCACACAAGTGGCCCGGGCCTGGGTGCGTGTGCGCACATATTTAAAGGGCTGGATAATGGATTGGGCAGCTAGAGACGCGCCTCAGTCCAAACAGCACACGTCAGATTTATGGAGACCCCCAGCCCTTCCTTCCCCGTCTGTCTAGCAGGGTGACATTTCAGCAATAGTAAAACAACGTTTACATTACCACTGCTGTCTGTCCTGATGTGGCCACAGCGCCAACATGCTGCTACACGCTGGGAGAGGGGTGCTGCTTATTTATAGACCCTTGCGTGCTCATATGTGCACACGTATGCATTTATACGCAAAACGACTGACATGAATGTTCTGTAATGGAAACATGACGGCACCGTTAGTACAGTGTTACAGATAATATCGTTATTCTACTCTTTTGACTTCATCCCTAATCATTATGGGTGCAAGTGAAGCATGATTCCACCGAAACAAGACCAATCAATTTTTTGCTTGATTTGAATCGCCATGAATCATATGTAAATCACATCAAACCCGAGAAGAGGTAGGAGCACTGATCCCGAAAACATTAATTTGCCTAAACATAACAGTCTATGGATGGACTCCAAAAGCGATTTGAATATCACAAGTCTTTCGTCAAATGTAATAGATACTGATGTGGCGTTAAAAGGGTATATGTACGTGAAAGTTGAGATGAGCTAATGGATGCAGGTTGTGTATTGCGGTGAATTTCGAACCTGTCCGATGCCCAGCCAGTCAGCTAGATCCCGTGCATTAGCCAGCGCGGTAGAGAGTCCCACTACTCGCACTTTTTTTGAGGTGTGGGATGAGATAAAGTTGGTTCTGGACACAATGACCTCTAGAACCGGCCCTCTGTCCTCACCTGTGAAGTCAAACAAAAGGTAAAAATTGTCACCTTTATTTATATAACGCTTTGTACAATAAAGATTGTTTTAAGGCAGCTTTACAGTAATAAACAATGAAGTAACAGAATAAGTGATGCAAACTCCATCAAATATGACAAAAAAAACGCAGCTCTAAAAAGAGAACAGTCATAATTCAGCTTCAGTGTTGAATCAGTTCAGTTCTCAATTACTGTGTAAAGTTCATCAATTATAAAACAAGTTCAATTCAGCGGTAAGCAGCTCTACTGAAGATAGTAGTGTCATTATTTAGCTTCAGTCAGTTCAATGTTGATTCAACTCAGTTCAATAACAGTGTTGCAAAATTCAACAATTATAAACAAATTTGATTCAGCTATAATCTGCTCGGCGGAACAGTGTCAGACAAAAAATATGACAATATCATTTTTCATAATACTAGTAGTAATTAATGCTTACAGACACAGTCAAAAAGCTTTAAAAACCACGTATATTTTGAGCTGATGGCTACATGGTGCTTTAAAGCTGCACTATGGAAGATAAGAACTCAGTGTTCAAATTTGTCTTTTTAACTTATCCTGATTTACTACAATAAAG